TATATATATATATATATATATATATATATATCTGAATGAAATGAACTTCTACGTGTTATTGACAGGAAGGATTTCTAAGATATACTTCAAGCGAATAAAGCCAGGTGCAAGATGATGCTTCTGTTACAATGACAAGTATGTACTATGTATTTGTAGATGCACAGAGTTTTGGAAGGACACCTACGAACCTGTTAATGGTGGTTATCTCAGAGAGGAGGGATTGATGGTTGTGTGGGGAAGGGTGTGAGAGATGTTGACTTTTCTTTCTTTTCCCTTAGTGGCTGACTGCTGTATCAAAACAATGTGAATACAGTATTTTATAATAGTTATGCTGATTTAAATGTAGAATTAAGAAAATACCACCACCAATATCTCATAGCCACAGAGACTTTAAAGAAATCACTAGCAATAAGTTCCATAAACAATGCAAAAGCAGGGATTTTGTTGAATTTGTTCAGGACTACAGTCCATCGCTTGGGACAAAGTCCTATACATAGTAGATAATAAATACTTGAGACAGAAACCCTCGTCCCTTCTTTGTTTCTCCCCAGGAAATTGGCTTGAAATTATTTAATCTCCAAGCCAAATCTCAAGGCAATCTGTTGCTTTTTACACATGCCCTAGATCTTCTGTTTTCCATCCTTTCCTCACACTGTTCCATTGGTCTGGGATACCCTCTTTTCTGCCTTCCCCCTACCTCTTCCACCTGTTTGAAACTGGTCACGTTTCTCAAGCCAGCCTGAAACTTCAGTCTCCAGTGACATTTTTTGAAGTCTATTTGGGAAAGTGCTTTCTCCTCTAACTTGCGGTCTCACAATAACTCTCTGTACCTAACTTCATCATTTATTATTTATTATGACATATACATATATATGTTCTAGATAATGTTTTAAATTATGTCTATACATGTGCTTTAAAAAAATTGTCAGAGGATATATATATGTGCCAGAGAGAGATTGAAAGACAAAGAAAGGGAGACAGCGAGAGAGAAAATCCCAATGAGATGTGATGACACCACAATTTCTTGTCTCCCATATCTCCATCCTGTTGGGATTTTGAGCATGCACACACATATACCCAGTGTATTTTTCAAGCTGTGGGAATGGGATTTGAACTGCAGTTGGCCATGTAGGATCTGGCTCCCCTAACCACTAGATATGGGACCCTATGCATGTGCTTTTTGATCTAGAACTGCGTGACTTCTTATATCAGTAATATCAGTGCCATAGTTTTCCACCCATGTCCCCATCACATGCAGAGTCCTTTGTGGTGATCAATCCATTCTGTTTTTAATCAAGGGAATGTAAAGTCTAGGCTCCTCAGGCTTTCCTGTTGGTTTCTTTCTTTCTTCTTCTTCTTCTTCTTCTTTTTTTTTTTTTTGGAGTGGTTTTTGCTATAGGGGGCATGTACTCACCAGAGAGACAGAGACAGAGAGACAGAAAGCGAGAAATCACCCCCAGAGGGGATGGCCACTCCGCAATCCCTTCTCCTCCATTCTTCTCTTGGGATCTTGGGCATACACGCACATGTGCCTGGCGTGAGTTTAAGCCACTGGGTCTGGGACTTGAACTGCCATTGACTACATGGGAGTCCAATGACATAGCCATTATGCTAACTATTGGTCCCTCCTGTTGGTTTCTTTCCCAGAGGTCCTAGTATAGTCTCTTCATTCTCCTAAGTTCTACCTGTTCTAAAGTCAGTCTACATTCCCTCTTCCCTCTTCCTATAGGAAGCCTTTACTGATAATGCAAGCTCAAGAGAATCATGCTTTCTTCTTAGTTCTTATAAACCTTAATAGCTATGAAAAAATTTAAAAATGGGAGGGGTAAGCCATTTGATACTTAACATCACAACCATTAATATTCCAGGCTGTAACTTTTAAGCAGGTAATTTATTTCTTGGTCTAAGGAATTTTAGCACACTAAGCCATACAAATAGATTGTGAAGTGAGTCTTTTCATACCCAAACATGAGCAGTAAATCAAGGAAACAGAAGATACAGCTCCCAAGAGAAGAGTGGAGCTAATGTTTCTTGATGCTTCTATAACTGTATCAGCAAAGGGTATGCTGTTCTTGGTCATTAAGCAGTCTTACCTACCACTTTCTCAGAGAGATTTAGTTTAAGTCCCATCCTCTCTCAGTTCCTCATTTTCCACATTTACAAAGACGAGGCAGAAAGACCCATTGTAGTTCTGTCACAGAAGGAATGACTTTAACTAAAAATTGCATTTAAATGAGGACTCTTCTGGAGCCTTCTCTAACTTTATACTTGTCATTGCCATACTTTCTCTGCCATCTCAACTTCTCTTTCTCTATCCCTTTCTTTCCTTCTTTCTTTCTTTTCCTCTCTCTCTCTCGCAGCAGTTCTGTCTGCCTTCTTTAACTAATAATTTCTCAAAAGTCACTTCAATTTCTTTTCTGTGGCCATTGCTATAACTTGACATCTCTCTGGTTTATTCTAAATTAAAATTACAGCTATTGTAGAACCTCTACAGAAGAAAAGATGCTCTGGAGTGTTCTCAAAAGTATTATTCTTGGTGGTTGTAGATGAGCCCATTCAATCAGAGTTTTAGGAAATCCACTATCTAAATCAAATGTTGACAACTACCCTTTTATGAGATATGAGCTTCAGAGCTTCATTTTAATTTCAAAGCTTGATGACACTTGAGGAGTAGATATCAAAGACCTTCCAAGCCTAGTTTATTTTAGCAATTGATAAGCTATAAAGTGTTCAGCCTATTGCAACAGAAGGAAAATCACCCAAATTCTGCAGGATTATAATACCAGTAAAAATGGGAGCTACCACATAATAAACAGAAATGTTCTCACTTTGACAGGGCGTGCATATGGGTACAGTTCTTACCATACCCAAATGAACAAAACTAACAAAAATTTTACTACGTTAAAAAAATTCATGGGAACCAGCAGTTAGTGTAATGGCTATGTCGCTGGACTCCCACGTAGTTGACCGTGGTTCACGTCCCAGATCCAGTGCCTTAAAACTCACGCCGGGTGCATGTGCGTGCGTGCCCAAGATCCCAGGAGGAGAATGGAGGAGAAGGGATTGCGGCGTGACCATCCCCCCCTGGGGGGTGACTTCTCGCTTTCTGTCTCTATGTCTCTCTCTGTCTGTCTGGCGAGCGCACGTGCCCTAGAGCGAAAACCTCTCAAAAAAAAAAAAAAAACAAAAAAGAAAAAAAAATTCATGGCAATGTATGTTCTCAGTATAGTATCTTTTTGTACAACACAAACACACAAATTGGTAGTTTCTCTGTAAAGACCAATTTCCTAAAATGTGAGGGAACTTCTTCCTTTACGTCCTGTTTTCAGAAACAAATCTTAACCCCCCCCATTTACTTCAAAGTAAATCTCCTGAGACAGTTTGCACTGTATATTGTGTACCCTACAATTGCTTAGTATTCTGAGGAGTTTCAGAGAGAACAGGTGTTAAAAACATTTCTACTTTCTACCTCTGTGCTGTTTCTTATGACACCTCAAGCTCTTCAAAGCGGTGGTTTATGAGGAAGCTTTCAATATGTCTCATGGACTTTAACACTGAAATGCCCAAAGCCGGGAGGAGCCTTGGTCTTCTCTCCTGTCTCCTTTCTGGCCTCTAAAACTTAGCTCCTTGTTAAAAACAAATAAACAAACAAACAAACAAAGTACATGAAACTCATGGCAGTGGATAAGGAGTCCTCAAAAATGCCAGGAATACTGGGACTGTCAATACAGGCCTCAGAGTCTGGACTGAAGCCTGAAGACCTGATAATGAGTTGTGTAAACGTATTACTGGGTTTCCTTGTTGCTTCCTCATGATACAGGTCTCTGGCTCAGCACAATTTAAATCTTAACTTCTCTAGGTCAATAGCTCTTGACTTTTTTTTTGGCTCATGTAGGTCTGGAAAGTTTTGAGATATGGCCCAGCAATCCATGTTTCTCTCAGAAAGCGCAATTGTTTCAGAGAGTCAAGCATGAAGTTCTGTTTCTTTTCTCTCTCTCTCTCTCTCTCTCTCTCTCTATATATATATATATATATATACACACACACATACACACACACACAGTTTTTTTTTTCCCTCTCTCTCTCTCTCTCATTTTTTTTTTTTTTTTTTACTACTAACTTATTAGTTTTATCCCAGGATCCTTTTGCCTGGGGGAACTGAACATAAATCAGAAAGGAAAATGAGGAAGGGGGTCCACTTACCGTCTTCTGAACTACCAACACCATAATGGTTGCCACCGTGAAGACAAGGCACAGACCCAGTGTGGCTGTGGTGATATACAAGTAGCTGCGGCTCGTGGCTCCCAGGTGTCTGGCTGCGGAATCCGCAGGCACATGCATGGCTGTGTCTCCAGAAGGGGCCACTTGGTTGAGTGCTTGCTGTAGCTCCGGATCCATTCTTTATATAGTCTTCCCAGCATCACACCTTATCTCTCCTCATCTGATTTGGTTCTGGGCGCATCTCTGTTCCAAGAAGGATTCTCCCCCTGCATCCTGGATCATGTGACTTGGAAAAAAACCTTCACCGGCTGCCTTGTGGGGAGACTCTTCTCTGGGGGCGGCGTAAGGCAAAAGAAGGCAGCAAGGGTGGGGGAGAGGCTCATTTTTCATGGCCTGGGATGAGTTAGAGTGTAGAGAAACTGTAGCTACAGAGAAGGTGGCTGATGTCAGAGGGTGCGTAGGAAAGTGACGGTTCCCCTACTGTGTGTGTGTGTGTGTGTGTGTGTGTGTGTGTGTGTGTGTGCCCGAGTGCTTGCATACAAAGCAACTTCTGTTTCCTTTAGACTCTGCCACAGAATGCCTTCCCCCTTGAGAAGCTGCACACTTTCCTTAGTGAGGCCTGAGGCTCAGAAGAGCTCTGAGATGATATTTTTGCTGCATCTCCGGAGGCTCTCGGTGCCTCAACTGCAATGGAATGACTCCAGAGGGCTCAGTTTGGTAATATCAGCTCCCACTGAGAAATGTGAATGCTACCTGTCCTCTGGGAAGGAAAGGCCCACAGTTTAGAGATTTATCCAAAGGGGCGCAAATTTATGGCGGTATGAAATTTGGGGACAGCTGCAAAGAAACTGTCAGACAG